CATTAAGTTTGGACTCATTTTAAAGGTTTTTTAATGAAGATGACAAATATGTCAAAATTGACGTTGACGTTTCAAACCGGAAGTGATTGTATTTCCATTAATATTAAAGTTAAATATGTCGAGTTTGGACTCATTTTAAAGGATTTTTCACGACGAATACAAAGTTGACATTCTTAACCGGAACATAATATTCACTTTAGTGTTTAGTTTTTAAGAATTTAATATAGATAAACTAATAGTTGACCAATTTTAGTGTTAAAAAATGAAGCAATCAAACAAACCTATAGGAATCTTCTTTAGCTGGCGAGTTTTTTCGTTCACAAGTAAATCTTAATGGTTTTGGATAAATCGGTTTTGTCTCTGCTCGCCATCCTTTCGATCGAGGCGCGCTACTTTTTGATCGCGATGAATCTGAACTTGAATCGCTTGATGTTGATTGAGAGCGACGATTTGCTCCTGGTGGTCTTTTGATACGCATCGTGCGTTGTTCCATTCCATCTTGATTAACTAAGATATCGTCCCTTTCGAAAAGGGGCGTTGCACCTTCACCTTTAAGTTTTAAAACAAATTTATCCAACATTTAATTGAAAGTTATTTCAAAAAATATTGATTATTTGAGTAAAAGCAAATTTTTTGACTAATTAGATGAAATTTTCAAGAATTTTAATTAATATTTAGAAGAAAACGAGGTGAACCTCCCACGATGAGACTCCAAAACGAGATCTTGAACATTTTCCATTCATATTTAAACAAATAAACATAAAAATGACTATTTAATGAATTTATAGCATGCATAAAACTAGTTTTTTTTAATGAATTTAATTAGTTAATTGAAATATATTGAAAAAATAATTATTTTGGGAACCCACAATCTTCAAGAAGCTGGAATTGTTGTAATAAATAATGCTTAATATATTAAAAATTAAATAAATAACCAATTTATTTTAAAAAGACTTTTATATAATAAGTAAAATACTTACAACATTGTTGGTTTCCACTTCAATCCCCTTTTTGGTCACCCTAAAACTTTTCCTTTCTCTGAAACTAGCTCAATTACCGATTTATACAAAACAAAAAATGTTTTAAACGCTTCCTAAGCAAATACATACATACTTAATTGAAGTTGTAAGTCATTATTTATTGTTTTACCTGCTCGATGCAAACACAATTCACTTAAATCTCCTATATCGCGTTGTATGGGCTTATCAGAACCAGTTTTATCCCAAGCTAAAGGATTCCTAACCGTGATGGTGTGTCGACGAAGCTCCCATAACGTTACTTGCGGCAATCGTTTTAAAGGCCTTAAACTTTAACACATTTTAGATAAAAATTTTTGAGGTTATGTTGATGATTTACCCTTTATTTGATTCCATCCTTTTTATTTTTCGTTCCGGTTAATGTAATTACGTTAAAGATGATCCTTTACATCTGAAATGCTTAATAAAAATTAAGAATTAATAAAAATTGCATCAAAAAGCAATCAATAACAATGGTAAACATAACCTATCAAAATTAACCTAAAACTTTTAAAAAAGTCTTTAGAAAATGATTGTTTATTAATGTTTTAGTTAAAACTTACTTTAATTGTATTTAATATTGCGCAAAAATTAAACAATTTCTGTTTTTTAATAAAAAATTGTGTTATGGTGTGATCAATATTGCCAACCTAATTTTTTTTTAACATAAAAAGAACCCAAATTTATAAATAACCTTAAAAAAAAAATCAATTCTATGAAAAATATAATAAGAAAGTTATTAATATGAAGCGTTAGGAGCTCGATTACAGCATAATCGTTCCAAATATATTTCCCCTTTAATCCATAAAGAGCCAAAACTAAATATAAAGCACTAAGGGCTCCTTTTTCAATGGTTAAAAGCCCTTTATTTATGGCCCTTTATGTCATATCAGTGCAAACATAACCCGGATAGCAACTATCAACTGAAATATATTTATCCTGATAATTGCAGCAATCGTTTTACACGTTAGATAAAAATTTTTGAGGTTATGTTGATAATTTACCTTTATTTCATTCCATTCTAATTATTTTTTGTACCGATTAATGTAATTACGTTAAAGGTGATCCTTTACATCTGAAATGCTTAATAAAAATTAAGAATTAACAGAAATGCATCAAAAAGCAATCATTTACCAATCAACAATGGTAAATATAACCTGTAAAAATTAACCTAAATTTTTTTAAAAATGTCTTTAGGAAATGATTGTTTATCAATATTTTAGTTAGAACTTACTTTAATTGTACTTAATATTGCGCAAAAATTAAACAATTTCCGTTTTTTAATAAAAATTTCTTGTATGGTGTGATCAATATTGCCAACCTAATTTTTTTTAACAAAAAAAGAACCCAAATTCATAAATAACTATAGTAAATATTTATTCCATGAAAAATATAATAAAAAAGTTATTAATATGAAGCATTAGGAGCTGTCCATTCGATTTAAAGATGATCTTTTACATCTGAAGTACTTAATAAAAATTAAGAATAAAAACGTATCAAAAAACCATCAATAACAATGGTAAACATAACCTATAAAGATTAACCCATTTTTTTTAAAAGTGTCTTTATAAAATGATTGTTTATCAATATTTTTGTTAGAACTTACTTTAATTTTATTTAATATTGCGCAAAAATGAAACAATTTCCGTTTTTTAATAAGAATTGCAAGGTTATTCATTTATGGTGTAATCAAGATTGCCAACTTAATTTATTTTTAACGAAAAAAGAACCCAAATTCCCAAAATAGTACATAACCTTTAAAAAAATATTAATAATATATTTATGAATAAAAAAGTTATTAATATGGAGCATTAGGGGCAGTCCATTCGATTACAGCACAATCACTCCAAATATATTTCCCCTTTAATCCATGAGGAGCCAAAGCTAAATATAAAGCACTAACAGCTCCTTCTTCAATAGTCAAAGGCCCCTTATGACTACTCATATCAGTAGAAACATAACCTGGGTGGCAACTATTAACTGAAATATTTTTGTCTGGATACAATGCATCGACCATTCTTTGTTGAATCCTAGCTAAAGCGCTCACACCGACTTTCGAAATGCTATAAGCAGAGGATCCCCAACCCAATTCAACATTATTCCCGCTTTTAGCGCTTCTAAAACGATAATAACTTTATAAATTAAGTTAGAGTGTCAAAAAATCCTAACCTAATAAATTCCTCCATTAACAAAGATAAATTTTCGATTGTAAGTTGATCACTAGACAGTTTACTTCTTAATTCAGGGGAAGGCACTTTAAATAAATGCCCAGCAGAACTAGACATTTGGATGAGTTGAGCCCCATTCTTTAATAAAGGCAAAAAGGCTTCGCTCATTCGAAGAGTGCCATAATAATTAGTTTTAATTGTAACCTCAGCTTGAACACCAAAAGGTTCTGTTGAAGCGCCTTTAAATGCAATCCCAGCGTTATTAATTAAAATATCGACACCGCCGTAATTAGTTTTGACGTAATTTTTAAATGTTTCAACACTTTTTGGGTCATCAATGTTTAATTGATGAAAACGAGGGTTTAATCCTAATTCTTTCAATTTATCCACAGCCTCTTTCCCTAATTTTTCATCGCGCGATGTTAAATACACGATTCCTTGGAATTTTTCGCATAAACCTTGCACAATCGCAAAACCTATACCTTTATTACCACCGGTAACCTAAAAATAATTTCGTTTAATTATAACAATTAAAGTAATTTTTATTTATATACGATTGCTAATTTTTGTTGAGACATGATTTTTATTTAATCAAAATGACTCGACTTTAAGTTTATAACCTAAAAATTTGTATTAAAATGAAATGTCAAAATAAAATATCCCTAAATATTAACAAAAAAGTTACTGCTTTGAATGTAATGAAGGTTATGAAGTTAGGCTGTAATCGGATCTGTCAACCTTACTCCATATTTACTTTCTCAAAAAATATTTAACATATTTAGCGTTTTCTGGTCGATTTCCGCGCGGAAAACCGCCGAGATCGTGTGGAAATGTCCGATTTTATCGAATTGGAGGCTGAGGAAAGTAGCGAGGTGAGGAAACGCTTAATTTTTAATTTTTTCATTGAACTCGGCGCATTTTTCATTTTTGCACAATAAACGCTATCAAAAACGAAAAATCTACCGCAATCTAATTATTTTTTAAAGTAATAAATGCGTTTTAGATCATATTTTGATGATTCAATATTTATTTGAATAAAAAGTAAAGTTTTGTGACATAACCTACAAAAAATTTTTTTTATTTTAGGAGGAATTAGAGACTAATGATCGAAAGAAGTTAAAAAAAATTAAAAAAGTGCAAGATAGTAGTGAAGAGGATGATGATGATGGTTTGTTTTGAAACAATTTTGTGTTATTTTAAATTTTATTATGTGTTTTTAAAGATGATGACCGCATGCATGAAGAGATTAATGATTTGATTGATGATACACCGATTCAGGAGAGTGATGGGGATTCTGATACTTCGGCGGGGCCTAAACGAAAAAAATCTGATGATGAAGAGTATGATGATCAATTAGAGGATGAAGATTATGATCTTATTGAGGAAAATTTAGGGGTTAAAGTTGAAAGAAGGGTAAATTTTTGTTAATTGTAATGATTGTAATAAAATTAAGTTTGTTTAGAAATTTAAACGATTAAGAAAAATAAATGATGAAGAAAGTGATAATGAAGAAGGAGCTGATAACACTCAAGATCGTGAGGCAATTGCAGGGGAATTATTCTCAGATGATGTAAGTTTGTTGATTATATTTATCATTTCTAATCAATTTCATTTTTATAACACAATTAAACATTTGTGGTCTTATTTTCAAAATAAATAAAGGACAGGGATGATGGTCATGTGAGTAATTCACTTTTAATTTAACCTGCTTTTATTTAAATAAATTTTAAATACATAAAAAACCCTTTTTTTGTATTTAACAGGATGATGAAAGAAGATCAGAACGAAGTCACCGACATGTCACTGAACCTGAACACTTCCCTGAAGAAGAAGAAGAAGGGGAATACTCTGATGGGGATGATTTTATCGTTGATGACGATGGCAGACCAATTGCTGATAAGAAAAAACGGAGAAAACCTATTTTTACAGACGCGTAATTTGAAATTAAGTTAAAACAAAAAATTTTTTTGTTAAAATTATCTTTTTAGTGCTTTACAAGAAGCGCAAGAAACGTTTGGTGTCGATTTTGATTATGATGATTTTGCTAAATATGAAGATGAGTATGAGGATGATGAAGATGAAGAGGATGATGATTATGATTACGACGACGATGGGGAGAGAAGACGCCCCATGAAAAAAACGCAACGGAAAAAGGCAACGAAAAAATCGATTTTTGAAGTGTACGAACCTAGCGAGTTGAAACGCGGGTTTTTTACCGATTTGGATAACGAAATTCGCAATACGGACGCTCCTGAAAGGATGCAATTGAGGGAAGTTCCCATTACTGTTGTTCCTGAAGATTCGACTGAGTTGGATGATGAAGCTGAGTGGATTTATAAACAGGTAATTCAAAAAATTATCAATTTTCAACAAAAAGGACAAACCCAATGAAGTTGCTCCACATAATTAAAAACTTTGACATTAAATTACAGCTGGTATAGTTTGTTTTTTTTTTTTCTATAATGCTTATCAAGGTACATTTTTTATTGTTTCTGTTGGTATTACCATAAAATTTATGTTGTTTTCTAGTAACATTTTTAGTAACTAAACAGTTGAGGTTAAAATATTAATACTTTTTTAGATAAATGAATATATATTTTAAATAAGGAAAGCTCAAATAAACGTCAGTGTGACATATTTATTTCAAAACATGATAAAACAAAACTCCCTGTTAATTTTGACAACTTTACAACAATTTGACAGGTATTATAGAAAAAAAAAAAAAACGAACTGTAAGTTGTTTTTTTGTAATTTGCGACGGTAATGAAAGCTATTACAGTACTAAAACGGGTGCTGTAATGAGACTCTTTACATCATCTAATGTTGTAATGCGATTTTAGTAACATTTTATGGAACCAGTTCAAGTTGGTAACATTGGGTCAGTTGGGTTGAGGATTCTGATTGATGGAATATGTAAATACCTTTATTCAATACGTCTTATGAGTCAATTCTAAAAATTTTTCATGCACAATTAATAAGTTATAACCGAAAATGATCAAAAACATCAAAATTAAGTTTTATTTTTGAGTTGGGTTGGTACTACTGATCGATGGAATAAAATAACTTATTGGATACGTTTTACGGGTTAATTCTAAATCTTTTTTGTATGAAAAGTTTTTTTCCATCAGATATAATTAATGAGTTATAAAAGAAAATTGTTGAAAACGTCAAAATTTCTATTTTTCTTTAGTTGGGTTGGTAATGCTGATTGATGGAATAAATATCTTTATTCAATACGTCTTATGAGTCAATACTAAACATTTTTTGTTTAAAAAATGATTCTCCATCATGCACAAGTAATAAGTTATAACCGAAAACGACCAAAAACATCAAAATTTGGTTTTATTTTTAAGTTGGGTTGGTACTACTGATCGATGGAATAAAATAACTTATTGGATATGTTTTACGGGTTAATTCTAAATCTTTTTTGTATGAAAAGTTTTTTTCCATCAGATATAATTAATGAGTTATAAAAGAAAATTGTTGAAAACGTCAAAATTTCTATTTTTCTTTAGTTGGGTTGGTAATGCTGATTGATGGAATAAATATCTTTATCACCAACTGGCAGCAAAACATTTAGACAACTTTTTAATGAACATCAACCAGGTTTTGATTATTTTGGACAGTTTTGCAATTCTGTATTCATATTTGCAACAATTTTGCAAACATTGTAAACATCTGGGACTAACAATGAATCAGTTTTTAATCGTTAAAACAAATTTTCGATAATTATCAACGAAGTTTTGGTCATTTTGAACAGTTATTTAGACCACTTTTCTGTTATAACTAATCAGGTTTAAATCATTTTAAACAATTTTACAACTAACAGTGACACCAATTATTATTTTTCAACCATTTAGACAACTTATCAGCAAACATCATAAAGGTTTTTATCATTTTGAACACTTTTGCAATTCTGTAATCATTTTTGCTACGATTTTCCAAAGATTTTGAACATCTGGGAGTAACAGTGAAAGAGTTTTCAATGAACATTAACCAGACTTTAATCATTTTGAACAATTTTTGCAACAATTTTCCAAAGATTTTTAACAATTTGGTTTAGTATCATAATGTACAAGTACATAAAGTACTTACTTACAATTCAAGACTATATTCTTTATTATAATTTATTTCCTCTAAATGCTACAATTTTGAAATAATTTCTTGTTTTAGGCTTTCTGTAAACCATCAATTTCAACACAAGACGCACATTTAAGCGCGGAAGCTCGCGAGAGACAACGCAAAGGCCCTCAAACGATTGGAAAAATTAGAAAAGCTCTCGATTTTATGCGAAATCAACAACTAGAGGTGCCATTTATCGCGTTTTATCGTAAAGAATACGTACAACCGGAATTAAACATAAACGATTTATGGAAAATTTACAAATACGATGCGAAATGGTGCCAATTAAAATCGCGCAAAGAAAACTTATTAAAATTATTCGAAAAAATGCGTTCGTATCAAATCGATCAGTTAACGAAAGACCCGGATGCGCCGATTCCTGAGTCGGTTCGCGTCATGAAAGAAAGCGACATCGAGAGGTTGAAGAATGTCCAAACCGCCGAAGAATTACAAGACGTTCATAATCATTTCGTGTTGTATTACGCGGCGGATTTGCCGGCGATGCACGCCGCGTGGCGGGAAAAAGAACGAGAGAGAAAACGGGCTGAGAAAAAGGCGGCGAAGATGCAAAGATTGGCCGATAATGAAGATGGGGTTGATTTGGGGGATGAAGCCGATGAGGAAGACGATGAACCCGAACCGGAAACGTTGAAGTACGCCAATAGATCCGGATCGTACGCTTTATGCGTTAAAGCGAAAATTGGAGCTTTAGCCAAGCGATTTGGGTTAACCCCCGAACATTTTGCTGAAAATTTAAGAGATAATTATCAAAGGCATGAAGTTGAGCAGGAAGGAATTGAACCATCTGAAGTAGCTAAAGAATTTTTATCACCGTAAGTTAATTAGACCGCGTTATGTATCACTTGACTAAGCGACAAATGAATAATTTTTTCATTTTTCTAAAAATATAAGAAGATATTTGTATTCTTCATTAAAAATCCTTTAAAATGAGTACAAACACGACATATTTATCTTCAATATTAATGAAGTTATGGGTTATTATCAACTTCCGGTTAAAAATGTCAACGTCAATTTTGACATATTTGTAATCGTCGTGAAAAATCCTTTAAAATGAGTCCAAACATGATACGTTTAATTCCAATATTACTCGAGATATAAGCAACTTCCGGTTTGAAATGTCAATGTCATTTTGACATATTCTTAATTTTTATAAAATGTCTAAATTTTTGCCACAAAAACAAAAATATAATAAAAAAAA